GGCGGGGTATCACTTACTTGATAAGGCTCGGACCACAAATATATATATGAATATGAATGAATGATAAAAGAGTCTTGGTCAGTTTAATGATTCATACATGGTCACATAAAACAGCCAAAGTTTGGTGGGGGCCAACACACTTCACCGGGACTCGGAATCACTTTTAGGGCTTTAGTGGACTCAATGATTGAAGAAAGGAATTATAAAAAGAGTCCAAGTTGATTTAATGATTCATATAAACAAAAAAGATCTGCGCCAGCGAAGATGCAAAAAAAAAGGTGAAAAAGAGCTACTAAGCACTAAAATTATATCTGATATAATACAAAATATATATATATATATAAGCAATAATATGCCGAGCTGAAGAAACAATGAAATATAAACACTGAAATATACAACAATGATTTTGGGCTGAACTCAAACCACATAAGTGAAATAAACATACACAGAGAAATAAAGTCCAAAACTAATCAAAACGATGCAACGTGTACAAACAACATGAACAGTCCTCCGAAGCAGACTTTATAATGTGCAGGACAACAGGCTCTTTGATAATCCTTCACCTCCACCAAGTGAATGCACGAAGGAGTGCTCACCGGGGTCTGTGGACCCGCAGAGTAGGTCTCAAGCGCGTTTTCCCTTCCTAGGAGGAGTTTTCTCTATTTAATTGAATGGATGGGTTTTGGAAGTCCCAGGCCCCCTTGCATAGGTCTTTTTGGAGGCAGCACAGCCAAGACCTGGTTCTCTTGGAGACATCTCTGCAGGCTACACTGCAGCTGACCATTGCAGCCTGGTCCAGGGCCTGACCCTATCCCTTGACTGGAGAGTAAAGGAGCAGGAGCAGATGGTGGAGTTCCTCACTCTGCTCTATGTTGGTTCCATTGAAAGTGGAATTTTGTGCTTTACGCTCCTCTTTTTGCCTCTGGTCCAGCTGCAGACGTCATGCTGGTGACAGTGATTGTGACATAGGATATGTAATAAATACAGAACATGTTACTTCAACATTGAATGATGGGAAATTTGCAGAACTTGGCAGACCGTGCTCTACTGGATGAATCATTAGGATGAATTATATGGTGCTGTAGCTATAATCACCACCATGCCACCATCCCTTGTAGGTTTGCCGCCTATTCTTCAAGCGAAACCCGAACACACTCTAGCGATGCGCGGAAATATTTTTGGGAGAATGAGTCGCGGCTTATTTATATGTAAATAGCCCCGCCCATTCATATGTAAATATCACAGTTGAGACTATTTTTAGTGGGGGGTCAGTAGCCCCTATCCTAATTCTGGTTGCCCCTGTCTGCCTGGCATCTTGTGTCCGGGTTTCTGCTGCCATGAAACCCGAACACAGCATTCAAAACCCGAACTGTTTCTATTCCTTCAGGAAACACGTTTTAAATCCAGCGCGGTTCCTAGTCTTCCCACTAAATATTACCGTACATGGTACACCAGCAATAATCCTGACCGTAAAACTAGAGGAGTGGCCATAGGCCTCCATGACTCCCTCCCAGTGGAGGTCACGGACACCCTGGTGGACGAGTTCGGGCATTTTCCTCAGATGCTCACTTTATGGTAAAGTGTTCACCCTGGCTAGTATATATCTCCCGAACTCGTCACAGGTCCAGATACTCCTTCCCATTCTGACTAAATTAGAATCCTTTACATCTGGTTTTCTGATACTAGGGGGTGACTTCAATTTCGTCTTTGACCCTACTTTAGACTCCTCATCACATAAAACTCATGTCTCCTTCTCTGCCATCAACTCGATTAAATCCCGTCTACATCGATTACAGCTCGTTGACCTATGGAGAACCCTACGCCCAACTACAAAACCCGAACTGTCCGGGTGATTCCTGGACAGGTGGCCACCCTAATCCCTTGACTGATCATAAGAGCCGTTGCCTGTTTCCAGACTGATTAGAAAACCAAACACGAACGAACCCACATGGACTCCGTCACAGAGTTTCGTTTACATGGATCTAAAGTGACCTTATTAAAGATACATCAGAGTGTGTAATGGAAGGGGACGGTTTCCTGAGAAGAACAGTAATGATGGGCTGATGCTAATGACTTCCTGCTGGATTCTAGGATCACAATTCCAAGACGTTCCAGTGATTACCAGTCTGTGTCCGTGTCCTTCACTATGATGAACATCCCGACGTGTATGTCTGGGCTAGCAGAGTGCCGGCACCGTGACAGGAGCCTTTCTTAATGTATTTATTTATATAACGTGTGTGGAAAGAACGTTTTGTCCAATGAAGTCTGCTGGGAGATGTTGTCCATCAAGCCGGAAGCTCAGATACAATGTATTGCCAAAAGTATTGGGACGCCTTTACACGCACATGAACTCTAATGGCATCCCAGTCTTAGCCCGTAGGGTTCAGTATTGGGTTGGCTCCGCCCTTTGATCAATACTTTTGGGAATATAGTGTATCATGGCCACTTCTGCTGCAATTGTTTCTCACAGTGAGAAAATTAAAAAAAAAAAAAAAAAAAAAAAATCTCCAGTTTTTACCATCACCCACTTCCTGTTTTTTCATAAATCTCTTATTGCCCCACCATACTTTTTTTTTTTCTGGAGATCTTCTGGCTGGTCAAGTAAGATCCTGGCCCCTCTTCTTGGCAGTCTTCAGTACCACAGAGAGCGGTGCTAACATTATGACGTCACACAGCTCTCTCTAGTATTGTGGTGTGAGCCCAGGCCACAGCACCCACTACAGATTCTGGGATCTACTGGTCAGGAGTGTGGTGGCACACGTACAAGCCGAGGTTGTGGCGCACCACCTGGAGGCAGGTCCATATAGTTATTTAGTATTTGAGGCTGAGTAAAGACACAGGTCCATCGAGTTCAACCTTTATGTGTGTAGTGTGTGCATGTGTGTGTATACGAGTCCCTTTGTGGTCTTTGCTTTTAAGAGTACCTGTACCCCTATATGTTATAGTCTCAGAGGAAGGTATCTAGTCATATCCAGACTATAATAATTGGTGTGCTGCTTGAATTCTTATATTTACTCTCTTAATTCTGTTCAAGCCAAGGATACTATGAAGATCCTTTGGATTGCAGAAGCTGCCTACCCGTGTCACAGCACTGCAGGGTTGGGCACCAGGAGGTTACAATATCGGGCCAACTTCAGGCCCCTGACAGTAGCACACAGCTATAGTATCTGAAGATAACGTCAAGAAATTCCTCGCTCAGTACAAATCAATCAGAAGATGAGAACGGATATAAATAAAACACAATTGTAAACAACAAGTAACGTGGACCATTGTGCGTTTATTTGAATATAAATAAGATGCAGGGCTCTGTCCTCATAGAAAACGTAGAAGCGATTCAAGATTGAGAAACGAAAACGATAAAAGAAATATCCAGAGATCGTATCCGTCCCCCTCAGTCCAATCTCTTCACCATGTACGGACCCTCTAGCTCATAGCCGATTTTCCTGTAATAGTTTCGGGTACCG